TTTCTGTTTCCTCATAAAGGTTAGATATTTCTCGTTTGTGTTTGACATCTTATGTGTATTGGTCGCAGGAGACAAATGCCAGAAAGGCTGAAGCTTGGGCTGCTGTTGAGAAATCTTTAAGTTTAAGGCTTCAGGTTTTTTTAGTTCTGGGAAACCAAATATTCTGCCTGTTTAGATTTATTATTAAGCTGGTATAGGAAAGAATGCTCAGAACTTTGAAGGCATTATATATTGACTTTACAGGAGGCTGAGGCAAAAGCTGCAGGTGCAGAGGAGAAGGAGAGATCCATTAATGAGCGACTATCACAAACATTATCTCGGATCAATGTGCTCGAAGCTCAGGTTTTCTAACTTCTCCTTTGGTGCTATGAGACAAGTTTTTTTATATTTAAAAATAGCTCATACAAAATGAGAGATGCTGCAGATATCCTGTCTCAGAGCTGAGCAAACGCAATTAACAAGATCTCTAGAGAAGGAGAGACAGAGAGCAGCAGAACACCGGCAGGAATATCTTGCTTTGAAGGAGGAAGCTGATACTAATGAAGGTCGTGTAAAGCAGTTTGAAGACGAAATCAGGGAACTCAGACGGAAACACAAGCAGGAACTGCAAGATGCATTGATGCAACAGGAACTCCTGCAGCAGGTCAGTACCATTTTTGATGGCTGGTAAAGCCTTAAATTGTAAATTATGGTTATGTGTTGGCTAGCATTTACTGATTATTTGTTTAAGTAATCTAAAATTCCCAAAATGTTCCCTATATTAGATTTCATGTGATTCATGATTTCATGTCTATTACTCCAAATAAATTTGGTAAGCCGCAACTTCATAGTTGCTTATTTAGCCCAGTGTTTCGAACACATTAGTGAATGTAAAAGAAGAATATATTGATTCTTCCCTGCCCATGGCTGGAAGGAGGGGAGAGCAGTCCGTGACTAGCTTATCATAATTAGAGATTTGATTTCAATTATTGATGATCTTATTAATAATTGTGAGTATGAATAGTCAAATCCTTACAAGAGACCTTCCATAATCATGCTAGGAATCATGATTCCTTATTTGGGGATATCAATTAAAAAGGAAGTCTATAGTTACCCTACTACCCTAGGTCTTTGTTACACAACTTGTTACACTAGTCATTATCTTCCAGTCAGTTTATTTTCATTCGAAACCGACTATAGGACTGCAAGTTAGTAACACATAAATCACCATTGTGAAATTTCACAATGATCTAATGGTTCATTGTGAATCGTGCTAGTTAAAATCAATGTAATATAATGTTCCAAAATTTAAGTTGCATGATTCACGATGAACTGACAGTTGGATCATTGTGAAACTATACTATGGTGATCTATATGTTACTAACTTGCAATCTTACACTCAGTTTCGAGTAAATAATCAGAGTGGAAGATAATGACTGGTGTAACTTTAGGCTTCCTCAACCGCTTAATAAAAATAGAATAAGACAATAAGGGCCTGTTCTTTAGGGCTGGAAAAAGAAAAGTCGGATATTAGAAGAAACCGGAAGAAACAGGAAGAAACCAGAATAAACTGGAAGGAAATAGAAAAAACTGGAAGAATTGGAAGAAACTGGAAGGAACAAGAATGAATTAGATGGAACTGGAAAAACTAGAAAAAATTGGAAAATCTAAAAAAAACTTCTAAGAAATGTCATTATTATTAATTTATTGTTATAAATTATTATTATTAATATTAGTATTAGTATTATTATTATTATCATATTCATAATCACGTTATCTTAATCAATGTTTTTAAGATAAAAAAATAGTCATTTTTCATACACAAAATCTACTTTCGCAATTGTTTTAATTAGAATATAAAGTTATCATAAATATTAAAATGTTAAATATTAAAAAGTTATTTTGGTTACGTTGCACCTCAATTTATTTATGCAGTATTTATTATAAAACAAAATATTTATAATTACACTTTATAAATTACAAGATTTTGTTTTAAACATCACACCTGTCCTATTTTGGGAATAAAAATATAGAACTCCTAATTTTTGAATATAGTTAAAAATATGATGTTTTCCTATTTTATGATGTAGATTAATAGACAAAAATTGTATTATTTATAATAAAATTTGAAGAAAAAATAATAATGAGTGTGAATCGTTAAAATAGTGACATAGAAAACATAAAAATATGAAATAATTTATAAACTATAATTATGAACATATGAGTTGTAATAGTAATAATAATGAAGATAATACTAATACTAACAATAATGATGATAATAATAATAATAATCACATCAAAATTACATCGTTTTTAGAGTAATTATTTGAGGAGTAGAAAGAGTTTGAAAAAATGAGAATATTTGGAAAAAACTAAAAGAAATTGGAAGGAGCTGATGGAAGAAACTGGAAGTTAAGAGTTTAAACTCTAAAGAACAGGCTCTAAGTCCACTAATATGAAACTAATAATGATGATGATGATGATGATGATGATGATGATGATATCAATAATCATTATTATTATTCTAATAACAACATTAGTGGCCGTATTATTACACCTCTCTTGGACAAGCATGTCATCAAGCTTGAAGAGAGATATGATGCACCGGTACTTTCCACGAAGAAGAAAGAGTATATCACTGAAGCTTGTCCTCAAGATCTATTACCAAATTGTTATGGACACAATAGTGAGCGTAAAAGAAGATATTGATCTTTCCCTGCCTGTGTCTAGGAGGGGAGAGCTGTCTGTGAGTAGCTTCTCATTATTACAGATTTGCCTTACAACCATTGATGATCTTATTAATGATTGTGTGAGTATAAATAGGTAAAGCCTTACAAGAGACCTGCTATAATCATACTAGGAAGCATGAATCCTTATTTAAGGGGTATGAACTAAAATAGATTAAGACTACTAATAGGAACTAATAATAATAATAAAATAATAATAATAGTAATAAAAATAACAACAATTATATTAATGACCAATTGACCATATCACCCAGCCCATGTATCCTATGGTTGCCAATTTTGTATTAGTAGTGTGCTCTTAATGCTATCTTTTCTGCCGTCCCAACCTGCAAGAAGAAAAAATAAAAACATTAAACGGAAGGACTCTTAGGCGGTAGGGCCTGAGAACTTCCCTAAAAGGAATAACCAAACAAATATCACGTTCTTAGAAAAGCTGACCGATTTCAGTTGTGATCAGGATTTAGAACGGGAGAAAGCAGCTCGTTTAGATCAAGAGAGGGCAGCTCGTGCTCAACAATCTGTTGTGCCAGATCAAAGTCCAATAGCTGGGCAAAAGTCTGGATTTGAAAATGGTGAGTCCACCAGTTTTAAACATAAACAAGCATGCACGTGACTGGGTTTCTCTATGTCTATCAATTTATTTTTGCAGGAAATCTGGCACGTAAAATTTCAAGTGCTAGCAGTTTGAGCAGTATGGAGGAAAGCTATTTTCTGCAGGCATCTTTAGACTTTTCGGAGACCTCTTCTGAACGTAGAAATGCTGGAGAGGTTACTATGAGTCCATACTATGTGAAAAGCATGACTCCAAATGTTTATGAAGCTTCACTTCGTCAGAAGGAAGGAGAGCTTGCATCATACATGACAAGATTAGTATGGTTTCTTCACAAATATCTTATACTCTGTATTTTTTTTTAGTACAAAAAGAAGGGAAGTGCTCTAGTAAAAATACAACACATCTGAAATGTTTCTTGTTCTTGTTTTACTCCTATGAATTATATTTTTTGCTTTTTCTGATCAACACCAGGCATCTATGGAAGCCATTCGTGACTCTCTTGCAGAAGAGTTGGTGAAAATGACAGCAGAGGTGAGTTATTTCATAAATCATTAATAAGATCATATTTTTGAGTTATTTATGTCTACCTCTATGAGGTTTGGCCCAATTACCAAACAACCATAAGGATTAGGAGTGATTACATCAACCTCGACCTCGATGAGTTTTTATGCAATTAATAAAGTGCATTATAAACATCGATTTTATTTGAAGACAGTTTTTGTTAATATCATTATATCCTAAAATCTTTAAATGTTAAAAAAGGCCATTTGTAAAAACCATCTTTGTTTGCCAGTTCCTTTGTTTAACTAAATTATTTATATCTTTATGCAGTGTGAGAAGCTTAGAGGAGAAGCTGCAATGCTTCCTGGCATACGGGCAGAGTTAGAAGCTCTAAGGCGGAGGCATTCAGCAGCACTTGAGTTAATGGGTGAGCGGGATGAAGAAGTAAGCTGTTTTTTACACTTTTATCTTCCTAATTACTTCTTGAATTGCCATTAAAAGAGAAGCCTGTTGGCCTGTGTACTTTGTACTGTTACTTATTGGAAATTTTACCTTGCACGCCATGATTCAAATCCATGATAGTGCACCCAAGAATGAGTTCTTTCCGTCAGGCTTTGTACCCCCTGGTTTACCTTCGTATTTAACTCCATGCCCCTCTTAATTCAAATCATGGCACACAAAGTCAAATGTTGGATTAAGCTGCAAAGCCAAAATGCTCGCTTATTTAATTAGGGTACTAGTATTAGGTAGTTCATAGAAGGAGAAAGATCATTGAGATCAGGGACCGCTTGTTCAGATTATATGAGGGGCCGAAGTTCTAGGATTTATGAATAGATTTCTAGGGAGTTCATCAGTTGTTTTACTCTTTATGCTGAAGGATTCAGATTTGGTCTATGTTCTCATGGCACTTAAATGTTTGTTGCAGTTGGAAGAACTTCGTGCGGATATAGTAGACCTGAAAGAGATGTACCGAGAACAAGTAAATTTGCTAGTGAACAAGGTATATACTAGTCCCGATTTATTGTTCTCTTGACCCCTTCGGCTTGTAGCTTTGGAATAACCTATCTGCCCCTTGGGGAAGAGGTTAGGCCTGCATACATCCTATCTCTTCCAAATCCCACTCTTCAGTGGGATATATCGGGGTTGTTTGGTTTGGCTTTTTTTTGAAGGCTTGTTTTGTTTGTCTTAGTGTATATACTTCGTCTATCCCACAAAAATATGTCTACTTTCCCTTTTTCGATGTCCCAAAAAAAACACTACCCACTTTATTTCCTTTTAAGGAAAGACACGGTGGCATTGTGGCTCACAAAGTTTCTCTCTTATCTAAACAGATATTTCAATCCCACTTTTCTTAAATTCTGTGAAAATCAAACCGGAAAGTTTTTTATGGGACGAAGGGGGTATATAATAATGAAGTCTTTTTTCAATCTTTCTTTCTTGCAGATCCAGGTGCTAAGCTCGTCTTTGGGTTCAGCTTGAAGCAATGGCTCCACATCTGACCTCGTTTTGTCTGTTGTATATCGATGGGATTAAATGACAACACTCGCTTTTCCTGATTCTGTATGAATATTTCATGGAGTACGCGGAGTAAATCCATCTCTTCTGAAATGCTTCTACTGTAAGAGTGTGTGATATGTTCCTTATTGCATTTGTATAGAATCTTTTCTATTTGAACTTCTGTCTCTTATCCCCTTTCCCCCTTTTCAGTGTGTTGTACTTTTTGGCATTTGATTAATGAATTTCTTGTAGCTGTTAATAATAGAAATAAGGTCAATTCAAACCATGTTCTCTTCATCTGATCTCATTGCAATAAATTCTGATCTGGTCTGATGTGATTTGAATGTAGTCATATTTAAAGTTATTTCTGATCTGGTTTGGTATCAATAAGAATAAGTCATAAGTAAAAAAATAAGTTGAAGAAAACATGGCCTTAGTCCCTCTTTTGTAGTTTTCTTGCTATATTGTATGGAATGTTTGTTTTTTCCAAGTGAAGGTCGAGTGGGAGTATTATATTTTCTCTATGAAGTAATGAAGGATGTTCTCCGGAGTATAATTTTCAGGCCAAACACAAGATTGGTCATGATCCACCATGGCTGGATGCTCACACCCTGATTTGTCACACTTAAATGGGAAAAACTTATATGGGGGGCTAGCTTATAAGCCTGCCAATTATGTATTTTTTTGGGTTAAAAGTTGATCTAAAAGCTGTATATACATAACAAAATTAGTAAATCTTATTTATTTTTAAGCGGGTTTTTTTCGTTTATCCGTTTTGACCAGATTATTTTCAAACCATTCTCATCTTTTATGAATATCTCAAATAACTTACATATCATTGAGTAAATTGCATAATTGGTCCTTGATAATATGTGGTTATCCATATTTAGTCTTCTATTATTAAATATTTGTGGTCCTACTTTTATGAAATTATTTCTACAAATAGTCATTTTTTACCTTCTGTCATGTTAGTGTTAATTTGAGGCTAAAAATATAAGTTGATATCAACCTTATGTTCATTGATGTATTTGAATGTAGTTAGATGGACAACATGATTATGACCTTGAATTAAGATTTCAATGAAAGATCACATTCATATACTATGAGTGTAGAAGAAAGCAATTACAATTGACAAACACGCATAGAATTGGCCATAATAACATATTTTTGCTTCATTAAAAGATTAGTTAATGAGGGGGGAGGGATAATCTTACACTAATTGAATTGATGTAAGATTGTTACACCAATTCAATGGGAACACCTACGATTTTCCATTTGTAAAAGGTATTGTTCCTACCTCCTTTACGCACATTCTCCAATTGCACCCATCTAATTTTGAGTAAAAAAAATTGTCCATAAAATTAAATAAAAATTCAAATNGGGGGAGGGGGAGAGGTTAGAGGTTGGAAACAATTAATTTTACAATCGGAACACTGTAAATAATCCGATTAAATTGATGTAACTATCTTGCATTAATTCAATAATTGTAAGATTACTCTTCTCTTAATTAATTTATAAGCATCTTATAAATTAAAATGCTACAATCCACACTTCAGCATCCAATAAATCACCCCTGCATGTTTGATGAGTAAAAAGATGTGATATCATATCTAAAATATCAAATTTAAAAAATGTTTGATGAAACAACAAAAGAGTAAATTGGATTTGGCGGAGGAGAAACGAAAAGTCTCTTCCCAGTTATTTTTTGAATATTTTAAGGTGCCACAAAGTATATTTTAAAGTAAAGGTATTCAAAATTTTTTACCACAAAACTTGGGGTGCCCAGCAGCCATTTTTTAAAAATGACTTCAGATTCAAAATATTGAGATATGCAATAGAGAAGAGTCCTACCCCATCCGTCTCTAAAATATTGCGACAGTTTAATTTTTTGGTCAATTTGTGGCACCTTTGGATAACAAATTAAATATAATTTAAAATAATTAAATATTATAAAAATTTGATATTTCAAAACTATAATATAAAATAAACCTAATTTTATTAAATTTACATTATAACTAAATATTACTCACTCCGTCCCCATAGATCTTCCCATTAACCATTTTTATTTGTTTCTCATTGATCGTTTCTTTACTTTTTTTTAACATTTAAAATACTACAACTATTCTCACTTTATGCATTACATCTCCCCAGCCTTATTTAATACATTCCACTCATTTTTATTAAGGGCCCGCTTAGTACACGAAATTGATAAAATTAGAATTGAATTAGAATTTGAAATTTTGTGGAATTAATTTAGAATCAATTAAATTTCCAATTAATTTTTGGCATACCAATTCGGGTTCGACCTCGACCTCCATAGGAATTCTGCAAAACGGGGAACTAAAATAACAGTGAAGCAGGCCTCCCATTTGCTAACGAAACGGACTCCGGTCTCCGGCACACTCCAACGCCTGCCGTCTCCGTTTTTGCACTACCCATTCAGCCGGCAGCCGCCATTCTGCGACTCATCCGGCAGCCGCCCCGCGATTCAGCCAGCGACTCAGCCTCCTCTTCTCTATCGAGGTAAATACTGCGGTCTCCTTAGTATTTGTTTCACTTCTTTGAATCAAAATGGTAAAACTTTTATATAGTCATTTAAATATATTTTTTTTGGATATTAGGAAAAAATGTTCAATGTGTTTGTAGATTTTCAGTGAATTGATGACTCCATTTAATTTCTTGGATGCCCTAACTTTGATCTCTTTTGAAATTCTGTTGGGGGTTATAATTAACTCTTTCTATGTGTGAATTGGATGAGACTTAATGCTCGCTAAGAGGAAATGTGATGTTCACTAAATTAAAGTGATGTCTTCAGTAATTATAATTGATTTGTTCACCAAGTGTATTGTCATTGCACCCTGGAAAAACTTATATACACGGCTTACACGCTAACAAGAAAAACATTTATTGTGAAAGCACTATTTTTGAAGGCGGGGAGGTTCGGGTGACATTAGTCTCTTCTCGGTTGGAGATTTGGGGCACCTGCGGTGCTTTGTTCAAAAAATTGATGGTTCTTACCCCGGTAAACCCCCAGGTCCGACCCAAACCGACCCCATTTTCTCCATTCTCTTCTTCCCAGTTTCTCTCCAAAGTCCAAACTGAATAAAAAAACACTTGCGATCATTCTCTCTCGCATGAATCTGTTCATCGTCTTCATCCCTATTCATACGTGCTCGCCGTAGATAGATGTCCGTGAAGAAGCTCGTGGAGAAGGCTTCTTTTAATCATAAGAAGGTATGTACTCTACTCTGCTCTACTCTCCATCTCTGTTTCCATGATCTGTATGTGTTTTGTTCGAAATCGGATCCGAAATCAAAATGATCAATTGAAGATTTCTGGTTCTCTTCCAAAGTTAAGTTGTTAGAGATTCGTTAGAATGCAGCCTGCCTTAATTCCCCTGATCGGAATGGAATGATCAGATTCCAAATTTAAGGAGTTCTTTTATTTTCTGTGTTTTTTTTGAAATACTGGAGATTTGAACTGAATATTGCTCGGTGAAACCATGGTGGTTTTCGGATTCATATCTGTGTTTATTAGGTGATCGAACGAACTGTTTTCTGGGTTACACTATCCCAATTTAAAAAAAAATGTTTGAAATGCTCGGAAGAATTTTGACTGGCTTGATTGATAAGATAAGAAATTTATTCGATTAATTGGGCCGAATTAAAGAGGATCTGTGATCATTTCCATGTGATTACTGTATCCATTTGAATGGGATTACAAATGATTAGGATCCGTAAGTTACTTGCTCAAATTCACCACATTTCCAAAAATGGTTAAAATATTTATTCTTTTAAAATCATTTTATTTACTAATTGGTAGAAAAACTAAAAGTACAAATCACACCTTTCCAAAGTAAATAAAAAAGTCTTACTACAAAATTTCAATGTCATAGGATGACTCGAGGGTGTTTTGAAATATACCTCATTGTTACATTTCTTAACATACTTTGTTTCATTGACAGGCGGGAAGTGGTTTGAGATTTTGCAGGCAGGATGGAGGGGAAAGGGGATGGAGTGAGGGAGGAGCGGGTGGTGGAGGCGAGAGCGAGGAACATCAGCCACAACGTTAGGTGCACTGAGTGTGGCAGTCAATCGATCGAAGATTCTCAAGCCGACATTGCAATCCTCCTCAGGAAGGTATTTATCTCCATGTCTAACCTCGGAAATTTTTGAACCAGCTGATTTTTTCATTAATTGCTTTGAATCAGCTAATTGCTCTGATAATTTTTCATTAATTGTTTTATCGTACCTTCTCCCAAGCTTATTGTGCTCGCAGAGCTTTCTACCATTTTTGCATTTCCTCTCAAGGTCCGTTTGAAACCCTAAAGTACTAAGGAAAATAGACATGAGATTTAGAAGGAAGGAAAATGCAGGAATAATTTAAAAAGTTCAATTAGTTCAAACTTCAAACTCATCTTGTTATGGTATTTCTATTACCATTATGTAAATACTCATCGTCAAGCCCACCCATTGGTACTAATTTAAATATATGCAATAAAAAAGTATGAACTTTATAAAATTTGATTTTCTTCGAGCTAAAATAAAACATTATAGCATATCCATCTTAGCATGTTTTTCCATTTACCCTTCATTTTCTGAGTTCCAAACATAGCCGTAGTTTTTTGCCGAAAAAAGAAGAAGAATCACCTATTCAAGATGCTAATGTCTTGCAGTAATGCAGTCATGTAAGAAATGTAGAGACTGAACTCAACTACTTTGTATATATGAAGATATTATGAACCATATTTTTGTCAAGAACTGTCTTGTAGAGTACTTTCGTGTGTCCTTTCTTAATCTGCTTAGACACTGTTGATGATATGTGATTCCTTTTTTCTTGTTCAAACAGTGCTGTAAATTATTGATACTTTTCGTTTTTACTTCACTTCAGACTTCTAGTAATTATGAGAACCCGATTGAACGTAGTTTCCCGGATAATTATGTCTTTTTTTCTTAATTTTTTCTTGAAGATCTTCCTTTTCGACTGGTATTACTCACATTCTTCTCTTTTCTATCTGGAGTCTATTTAATTCTCTTGGAGGTTATATACATTTAGTTAATTCGAGATGAGATCCGTGCTGGAAAAAGCGATAAAGAAATCTTCAAAAAACTTGAGGACGATTTCGGCGAGACGGTACTCTATGAGCCAAAGTTTGATCTGCAGACAGCGGCGTTGTGGCTATCTCCGGTCAGCTTTACCCACAGCTAAATTTTTCTCTTAACGGTTTCAGCTTCTGTATGATTCAACGGTTAGAAAAGTAATTTTTTTTTGGACAGCTTTTGACTGCAGGGGCTGTTGGAGGGGCATGGGTTTTCCAAAGACACAGAAAGAAGACTAATGTACACATCATGGCTTTGAATCTCATCAGAGGAGTCCCGTTAACGCCGAAGGAGAGAGAGACGATGCTTAAGCTCCTCACTCCTCCCCCTTCTCACCATTCTCCCACGCATTGGTGGCGGAGATTGCTCCGACAGTGAAACAACAAACATGGGTCTGAAATCTGTTGTTCTTTCGGCCCGTTTGGGATCTAATGTATGAGCTTTATTTCGCTGACATCTGGGGGTATACCTAAACAAATTACCCCCTTCGTGTCAAAGAAAGAAACTTTTTGCGTGTAGTTAATAATGTTTTTGAATTGTGAGTCCCTAATGCTTTGAGACAACAAGATTTGGACACCATCTTATGAGCCTAATTATAGTATTGGACTGGTTGGAGTAAGATTTTTACTGCATCCTAGAAACATGGAGGACTTAAACCAAACTGATGGGATGCAAACCTAAAAGTGAAGAAGGTAGCTACTGGCCAACCTGCTGCCTCTTGCTATACTGTTTGGAAACTGAGAAATAAGAAGATTCACAATATTGAAGTGAACTGTGAAGATGTCACTAAGCACATTCAATTCTGTGTTAAATCCTATTGTGAATTTAAGTTGTGGTAGATGTTGGTCTTTGATATTTCTCCCCCTTCTGTTGTAAAAATACTTTCTCACTTGTTTTGAGGTTGAATATAATGCGCATTTTGTTCAAAAAAAAAAAAAGAATTTGAAAAATATTAATATGGGGGTTTGAGGTCAACTGTTAATCATTCTCTGTCACCGATTACCATTATCACTGCCAACCACTCCTTCGCTCATCACTAATTAAATCATGATTTTTAAATCTCACCAAACAAATTTGTTTCAAATTTCAAAACTCATATTGTGTTTCTTATATTTCATAATTCATATCTTATCATTTCTCTTAGATTCCAAAACTCAAATCATTTTTCGTGTCTCACAATTTCCTCTCTTTTTGATTAAAAACAGGCTTTTACTCACTTACGCATCCCAATTCTTACCTAATCTATCACATCATACATATTTACTTAAAATTTATCTATCATATTCTACTTTTACTCATTACATCAAATATATTTTAAAAAAATCAATACAAAAATTTCCTCTTTTTTTTTGAAATTTTTAAGAACTTTGAAAGAAGGCAGAAAGTATAAAACAATTTATGTGGCCAAAATGGACGGTTGTGATTGGCCAGCGGAGAACATATCTCAACCATGGGGATAATGCAAAAAACGTGTGATAATTGAAAAGTCAGTCTTTTTCATCTCTTTCTCTTTCTCTTTCTCTTCTTCTTCTTCTTCCATGTGACCAGACCTCCTTAATTATATATAGCAATCTAGCTAGCTTACTAAGCTACTTGGGAAGTGTTTTTTGTTCCAATCCAATCAGAACAACTGAAATTATGGGAGGAGTCGAAGGCAACCCAGAGATGATTATGGTTCAACCCGTGGCTTCCCATGCTCCCAGACGCCGCCCGCCTTCTTCCACCGGCGTCCAGTGGACCACTGGATTATTTGATTGCCATCAAGATCTTCATAATGGTCACTCTTCCTACTTTATTATTACTATTTACCTTTTATATTTATGAGGCTCCGTTGACACTGGACAAACGTGTCATACTGGTGCCACTGCATTTTTAGAGCACTCCAAATTAGGGGGCAGGGGTGGGTCTGGGATGGGGTTCAGGAGAGTTAGGGGGCAGGAACCATCTATTTTGCAAACCATCTAGTGCCATCGTTGGCCAGTGTCAACGAAACCGCCATCGTACATTATTTTCATGGTCGTTTTCAAACTTTGCACGAGAAGCCTTAATATTTTTAAGATTAAGTGGCAGTAAGATTAGGAGTTAGAACACTTGAAATATGGGTTAAAAGGTTGTGATATGATACTATATATTTCGATGACTCAACTCAACTAAGCTTAAGTTTATAATTGTAGGCTGAAGAAATGTTATTCATATGCTCCCTCCTCCGTCCCAAAATGGATGTCATTGTCACTATTACGGCTTATCGATAACTTTCGTTTATTCGTGTGTTTTCATTGATCATAACAATGGTCACTCTTCCTACTTTATTACTAGTATTTACCTTTTATATATACCAACAAGGTTTCGTTGACACTCGAAAAACATGTCATACTAGTGCCACTGGGTTTTTAGAGCACTTTCGTTTGCAAATTTGGAGGGGAGGGTGGTAGGGGTGGGTCTGGGGTGGGGTTCAGGGGGGTAGGAACCATTTATTTTGAAAACAGAGCACTGGAGGTGCTTAAACAACCAGTGACACCGTTGGCTAGTGTCAACAGAATCGCCATCTACATACGTACATTATTTTCATGGCCTTTTTTTGAATTTTGCACGAGAAGGCTTAATATTTTTAAAATTAAGTGGGAGTAAGTTTAGGAGTTAGAACACTTGAAATCTTGGTTAAAAGGCTGTGATATGATACTATATATTTCAATGACTCAACTCAACTGAGCTTATGTTTATAATTGTTGGCTGTAGAAATGTCATATATATGCTCCCTTCTCTGTCCCAAATTGATGCCGCTGTTACTACTACGACTTATCGATAACTTTTGTTTGTTCGTGTGTTTTCATTGGTCATTTAATAAAGCAAAACATTCTTGTCACTTCTTGTTTTGTACTCCCTCCGTCCCAAATTATAATGCCTGTTTACTATTCACAGGATCAAACTTCATTCACTTTCTTTCTCTATTTTCGTTATCAATTTGATAAAATAAAATATTATTGTCACTACTAGTTTTGTAGATCTTTTGATGTAGTTTTTTAATATGTAATTTTTATTTTTTAATTCTACACCATTTGTCATATAAAATGGTTTGAAAATAATTTCAGTCAAACATCGTAAACCGAAACAGGCGTTATAAAATGGGACGGAGGTAGTAGAAATTTTGAAGCATTTTTAAAACGATGTAATTTAAACATTTTATTTTTATATCAATTTATGATAAAAGTGATTTTTAAAAAGGATAGGATTTTGCACGTTTTTAGAACGAGTGTGGTATTCATTGTGGGACGGAGGGGGTATATTCAAACAAATATTATGTTTACTTTGTCATGACAGCTTGTATGACTGCAATTCTCCCATGCAAGACATTTGGTCAGATATATGAGATCCTGAACAACGGAGTGATGCGTAAGTAGTAAAATCAATTCAACCAAAAGATTAAATTTGCAATTTGAGAACGAAATGTTTTATACTCTAATACGGGTAATTTGACAATTTTTGTTAAGGGTCCGTTTGGTATACAGAATTGACGGAATTGGAATTGAATTGGGAGTTGAAATTCTATGAAATTGATTTGGACGAAAATGAATTCTACAATTCCAGTTCATTTTTGGTACTACCACTTCCAAATCTACATGTTTTTGTGCTACCGAACAATAGAATTGGAATTGTCGTCATCGATTCCAATTCCAGAGTTTGAATTCCGTGTACCAAACGAAGGCTAAATCTCTGATGAGAAATTGAGGTGAGGATTTGGTTGTTGTGAACATTGATTATTGCAGCATGGCAAGTGGGATCATTGGTATACCTGGTGTTGATGCCTCTTCTGTGCTCCCAATGGGTAACGGGATCAAGGTCCAGAACCAAGCTGAGGCAGAGGTTCAATCTGGTTGAAGCTCCATTCTCTGATGTTTTCTCTCACATTTTCTGCTCTTGCTGCTCCCTCTGCCAAGAGTTTCGCGAGCTCCGAAACAACGGCCTCGACCCCGCCAAAGGTATGAACCACACTAAATGATCGATTAGATAGTTTGACTCGATATCGTACTCCCTCTGTCTCTTTCGATAAACAATTCCACATTCATTTTTCTTGCATCCCACAAAATACTTCTACCCCCATCTAAAATCTTTGTGATTACATCTCATTTCTCTTTTTATTGCGGGTATTAATTATTTTGAAGATATTTTAGACATTTGATGTCCGAAACAACGGCCTCGACCCCGCCAAAGGTATGATATATATTATTCACCCCGCCGCCTAAAGGTATAGCCATAAGACATTTGAGTCGAACCATACTAAATGATCGATTACATAGTTTGACTAGATATCTCACTCCCTCTGCGTGTAAACAGTTCTACGTTCATTTTTTCCGCATCCCATAAAATACGTCTGCCCCATCTAAAATCTTTGTGATTACTTTTCATTTCTCCGTTACTGAGACTAGAAATTGTTTTGGGAGTATTTTAGACATTTCAGGTCGGATACAAGTATTTTGTGTTGAAAATTACAAGTTTAGAGCGAAAAAAATCCAAACTTATAATATGTTCGGATTTTACAACGGGAAATTCAAAAAATAAAATAAAATAAAAGTTGCTGGTGGTCGGAAGTTGAATGAAAAGAAAGGAAAGCGGAGTCGCCGGAGCTTTCCTAAAGGTAGTATCGCCCTCACTGAATTTACGTCCAATGTTGTCCCGTTACAAGCCAAAGATTCCAATATTTTATGGGATGCGAAAAAAAAATGATGTAATTGTTTTTCGGAACGGAGGGAATATTAGCTTCTTTTCAAAGTTCTAATATGAGACTGATATATTATGTGCAGGATGGAATGGTTTACTTAGTGAGCAGGAGATGATGAGCACTCCTCCCCCACTCCAATCCATGTCCCACTAGAGAGACATTAATTTCCCTTTTTCTTCTTTGTTGCTTGTAAGTTGGTCGCCATGGACATACAACAACATTAATTTAAACATTATGTTAAGGATTGCTCCATGTCTCTATTATACTAGTCCAAGAATATCTTTAAATTCTAAAGCAATATTTTGAAATTCGGACTGCGGCCCCAATGCTCGGCCCGTCCGAATCAATGATGAAACTCGTTGAAATTTGAACGAAATTGTTACTACCCGAACCAGGGTCGACTCGGCCACGTAGCGGGTTTTGATATACAACTATTTTTTTTCCATTTGATTTATTGGCTGTATCTCAAGGTATAAAACAAAACAAATTGATGTACAATCATATGTATCGTTTCTTACATGGGTGCATGCATTTGAAATTTTTTTCCAATTATTCAGAAAAAAAATCTCGCATTTAGTTTAACATTTTCAAATTTATTCTAAATTATTAAAAAATTATTTAAGGTTGTCCTTAATGCTTCACAGAAGCATGTCCGTGATGCTACCTGGCGTGTATCACATCAACCGATCAACGTGACTCCTTGTGAACACCGTCCCTCTTTGATGGTGGCATTTTTTTTTTCCATTTAAGTTGTAAGTAATGTTTATTTTGCTTATAACTTTTTATATGTAAGTCATTACTTGACAAAAAATATACCGTTGGAAATTTTTTCACAAGATCTATCCGAGAACACCAATTTTGAATATACTCCGTATAATTTTGACATTATATCTCGCTTATATTTTCAGCCAAACATTTTTGAATTTAACGAACTATGTTTGAATATATGTTATATGAAAAAGTCTTCTTACACCATTTTGTTTTTATGCTATAAAAAAGTAAAAGAAAAAATTAAAACAAAAAATAGTTGATTGAGAAAAAAACAAAAAAAACAAAAAGGGTTTGACCAGAAAAAACAAAACAAAATAAAAAATCAAACACATTTATATAATTAAAAGACATGAACATAGGGTATCAATGGCTTTTTGAGATAAACTTTCCATTCCTAAACATAAATTTATCCTCTGGCTTATTTGTAGAAACAAAATCCAGACTAAAAGCAAATTGAGCAAATGACTTCCAATTGACACTCAATGCTTGCTATGCCAAAATGTTGTGGAAGATAGACATCATCTTTTTTGCACTTGGTCCTATACTAACTAGCTTTATATGAGAGTCTATGTTTGGAGTCAATACCATTTTGGTGGAGGCAAATTGTTGAGCAACTTCAAGGTATTGTTCAATGAATAAGAGAAGGAAGATTATATCAATTTTTGCTACTTGTGTATTTTTGAAAAATCACAAACTTAGTCCTGCACACAAATATTCTTACTTTGATTTAGAAAGCTGCTCACTGGATTAAATACAATGGAGGTACTTATTTAAACTCTAAGTTTCAACCAAAATGTGTTATTTTCCTGGATTTGATTAGTTTTGGCAACTTTGTAATTGTTATGTTGGTTTTGTAGATGATGTTTGCTTTGTTGTTTTTTCTTGGTAGTGATTATACATTTTTGAGAAAGATTTGATAGATATATTTGCAATTGGTTAAAAATAGGAATGTTGAAAACATTCCAAAATTAAAAAAAAGTCTACCTATGTGAAGTGAGTGAGAAATATAATCTTAGATATTGTTTGGTACACAAAATTCAAGCTTTGAAATTAGAATTAAGGATAATTATCTAATTCTACTGTTAGGTAGTATAAAAATAAGTAGATTTTGAATTGGTAGGACTAAAAATGAATTGGAATTGGAGAATTCAATTTCACCTAAATCAATTGCATACAATTTTAACTTTCAATTCAATTTCAATTAAACGGGCCCTTAAGAATTCAAAATACAACTTAAAATCAAAATGCTCTCAAACTCCCACCGTGTTCAGGCTACAATCCGATCACCGGAGCCGCCGGAATCCGAATCAAAGAGTTGGGTTGTAGGAAGTGGACGAAAAGGGAACGGTAAAAATTCAAACCATATCCCCACCTAACCCTTCACGATGAATCTTTTACGATCGCAGTGCCACCAAAATTTCCGCTCGCCTTTACGACTAAGATTTACCGCGATTTTTCCATCTCCTAACTACCTTCTGCAACTACTCGCTCATGTATTATGAGCGCATTTAAGGCCTCCTTCTTCATCCGAGAGCTCTACTGCCCCAACCCTTTTTATACCCGATTCATTTCTCGTAAAGGCCCGAGCTTTGCATTTTCCCTGTCTCGATTATACTCTTCTTCTGGTAAGTGAACTGATTTTGATCTATTTTGTGTATCTGTATCTGCAAGTGGGAGCTTTAATGTTTTTAAGGATGTTTGTGATTCCTTGATGTTTGGAGGACACTAAACTCTTGTCTAGGGGTATGGATTGTGATAGAATTATTTGGATCATACGGAGGTAATAGCCAAACAAGGCTAAATTTGAATTGGTTCAATTAGCTAGTTTAACCCAAATTTAGGATGGTATTCTTGTTCTTGAACGGGTAGTTTTAGTATACTAAATCATCAATAACTATCAAGAATTTACATTCTTGATTGCCAGTGTCCTTTTGGTTCTCCATACTTTTAGTCTTTCTTCACTAGTACAACAGTGTTACCTGATCTTGAGGCATCTTTTTAATTCCATCTGTAGTTCAAAGGTATACCTCAAATATGGATCTGGTTAAAGAAGTAGCCAGCAAAGGAACTGATTCTGCAGGGAGAATTGCAATCAGTGCTGATCAGAAGTCATGCAGTTACCTCCAACTGATCTCATGTGCTAAGAGGATTTGCAGTCTGTTAACAAATCTCGATCTGAAAACCGTGAGTTGAATTCACTCAACTCTTCTCTCTCACTGTATACAGTTTAAATGCCATCATAATCTTCATATGTCACTTCATTATGCAAAATGGGGGTTATGTATTTAGAAATTTCTTTGCATAATAAAAATTGATAATCAAAGCTTGCTGCAATTGAAACACGTGTTCTATCAATTGGTCTCAGTTTTTTGATATTATTATTCTTGTTATTATTATTACTATTTTTTTTGGTATTATTATTATTACTACTCTTATTATTATTAGGTGTTTAATGTTTAAGTATTCTAGAATTTACTTACATAGCATTCATCATATAAGAGATGGACTTCCTAAGATTAAAACCTAGACACTAAATTCAAATGTGAATGAATGAACCCCGGGTTGTGTGTTATACTTGAGCTTGGTGTTTATGAGAGAAGTGGGCATTAGGGAAAAAGATTAGGAGGTGGTTTTAGGATGAAATATAGATGTTTAGGGGCAGATGCTCTAAGTTTTAAGTGAGGAGAGTATTTCAGAGGAGAGAATGCAAAATTGGGTGAAGGAAAATGGAGGATGTCAGAGTGTTTTTAAGTGGTTGTTATGAAAGTAGAGGTCTGTATAGGATGAAGGAAAGGAGATAGGACTGAATAGGGGAAAATAAAATGGATAAATGCTACGTGGGTGTTAAGAGATATTACACATTCCTATCTTCATTTAGGGCTTGTTATCTTCACTTCTACAATAATAATCACTATTAATGTATAAGTTTAGACTCCTAATAAGCACTCAAAAGTAGCCAACTAAAGAGATGTAATTTCAAAAATGGGTCGAACAAGCTTCACTCTTATTCTTGTTTTTAACTCTCAAAGAGAAGTAAAATTTTGTAACTCAATATATGTATTACATGGGGTGGCCGAATGACATATATATACAGAGCAATTGCCAAGGATTATTACAATTCAACTTAATGATAATGATGAAGAAAGCACATGATAAAGTGGTTCACATGCTTAAATAATAATGAGGGGACAAAGTCTGTAATATTAAGGAAGAAAGTTTTTTCAATGGTTTTGTCCAAAGTCCTCCTTGAAACATGGCGGGCTGCTTCCTTGATATATTACACCGTATTCTTCATGGAAATTTTGGTCATGATGAGTAGGAAGTGGATTATGGCTAATAATGTGTGATATAATAAAGAAATAATTAGAGTTGGAAAACGTTGGATCATTAAAGTCAAAAGGTGTGTCTTTTGTGATGTTTCCCTTTTATTTGAGGTGGCATATTCAGCCAAAGGGTGAAGGAAATAGAAGAGGGGTTTAGTTAACTTTATTATGTGGCCAAGGCCTGTTTGTGGGCCATCAAGGTGGTGATTTCGGCCTTAGTTATTTTAGGATGAATAAAAAACCCAAAATGGATTTTGACTTTTAGACATTAGACTACATGTAATGGGCGTTAAAGCCCTTATAATGTCGAATATAGCGCCTCACTTATATTCTTAGACCTCTTTTTCTCTCACTTTAAATAAATTAAATTAATGTTATAAAATAAAACTGTGTAAAAATTGGTGGGCTTTATGAGGCTTTATGCACTATACTACTTTTTTTCATGGAGCCTCTTGATGAGGTGGCTGCCATATGATGGATAATGCCCTTCGTGGCTCCATGACCTCACACGGCGGTCTTAAGGCTTTAACTTCTTTTAGCACTTTTGGGTTGAGTGGTGGTGCAGTAGAATCATCTCGGGTTATATATTGAGTTTGATCAAACCTTTTTCTTTCAATTTAATGTTGTTAGCTCCACTAACTCACATCCATTGGTGCAACCTTTTCTGTTTTTACTTAAAAGTTACATTCGATACCAGTTTCCTTCCTTTGCTTGACTTCAATTGATGGTTTTACAAAAAAAGCATATGCTGTCTTGTAGGAGGATAAAGTTAGGCAGACTAGTGATCTTGGCGGAGCAAGAATTGGAATCATAGCCAAACCATGTGCTGAGTTTGTTGCGGCAATACTTGGTACTTGGCTCAGCGGAGGTGTTGCAGTCCCTCTTGCTCTGAGCTACCCAGAAGCTGAGCTGCTGCATGTGATGAATGATTCGGTTTGCTCTTTGATCCCTCAATGCTTTTCAAACTAGTTGACAAGCTTCAATGGAAAAAAAAAATCTACCCTTTCTTATTTTTGTGGTTCCTATATGTGGATGCTTTTAATTTTATACATATTACATTTAATTAGATTATTTCACTTTATAAATACCATGGGGCTCTTTTGACACCGACCTTCTTCGTTGTCAATTATGACACCGAGGCTATTTGGGGCCCTACAGTGCTCAGTTGGGCCCCAAACCAGGCCCCTACTCCCTAACTTAACACCCCACAAACCCCACTCCTATCGTACCCCTCCTCCCAAATCGCGTGGTGTCATATTTTGACACCCAAGACCGGTGTCAAAAGAACATGAATTATTCCCTCCGTCCCAAAAAGAGCCTAGTTTATAATATTGACTTCAGTATTACATACATGACTATTGTTTTCATGTTCTGGGGATGGGGTAGTAGAAGGTATATCCAGGTGCTTTATCCCTCTTCTTGATGATACTCATTTTCCCTTTTTTTGCCATAGTATCATATAAATTGGCCTTTAATAAATAAAAAAAAAGTACAGAAATTAATTCTTTTAATAGCTAAAGTGGCTGAAATGAAAATAACTTGGAAACAACCTCTTCTCTCTCTAGGTAGGNCCCCCCCCCCCCCCCCCGTGGGATTTTACTGGGTTTGTTGTTATTGGTTGAAATGAAAATAAATTATACTTCTACCTACCCTTTAAGATGTTATTTCCTGTAATTTATAAATTTATACATTTCCACTCCATTTAGTCCATCCATCCCTTCCAAATTTAGTTTGCTCAACTAAATTCACTGCCACTAGTACTTCAGCTTAAATCTAACATATACTTTACATGTATACAACATTCTCACTCATTTGGTTATATTCTTCTCTCCATTCGACTGCTAGGACATCTCTATGATCTTGAGTACCGAAGATCATCATGAACTTTTGAAAAGTATTGCAGTTAAAACTGGGGCTCAGTTGTCTCTCCTTCCTACCATTCCAAGCGTGCATTCACTGCCCCCATCTGATCATAACCAATTGCCAAAATCGGAAAATTGTGATGATGGAGGTTTATTAAAAATAGAGTTCTCCCACAACATTAAAGGTTGGATGGACTTTAAGTCTCTGCAATTTATATTTTCTTCGTAGGAAACAGTAATATTTATTCATCATATGATGTAGGTGAGGGCCCCGCATTGATATTATACACCAGTGGTACAACAGGGAGGCCTAAAGGAGTTGTGCACACACACAAAAGCATCCTAGCACAGGTCTATATTTCTTTCCAAACCACAATAGAAAAGATTGAATCTAATAGATCAAATAGTTTAATCCAAAGTCTTATAAACCTATAATATTAAGATTTGAGTTTCCATCTTAAGAGGTAACCTGATAGGAGGAGTAATCCAATGCTTTATACGGTGGTTTGTGTTCCAGCAGGAATAATATTGCATATAAGCTTTGTCTACTTTCCCATGGAGTAACAGTGTAACACTTCATATGATTTTTTCTATTCAGGTACAAATGTTAACAGATGCATGGGAATATACATCTGATGACCACTTCTTGCATTGTCTACCCCTACATCATATCCACAAGCACCACAATTGTTTATCTCTTAGTCAAACCTCTGTTTCATTTATGCCATATTGCCATTCATTCATGTTTATAAGCAAGCTTCATGGAGCTGATCCTTAACTTCTAACTTTACACGTTCATGGGCTTTTCAATGCTTTATTGGCCCCTCTCTATGCTGGATCTAAGGTAACTTTTTCTACATATGGAATTGCCAATGTACTTGAAACTTCAACTGTACCTACATCTTAGATACTCGCCTACTTTGCATTTTGCAGGTTGAATTTCTTCCGAAATTCAGTGTGAGGGGAGTATGGCAGAGATGGCGCGAATCATATCCAAGTGATGGGACTAAATCTCATGATGCCATTACAGTTTTCACTGGTGTAAAGTCTTGCATCTGGATTTTAGATATATATAGAAACTGCTATGTTCAAATATAACATCAGTGGTTCAGCCCCCAGCCCCACTACACACACACCTTTTATAGCTAAGATATTTTCTCCTTGGTTTTTTTGTAAGCTAACACTTCACATCTTGCTTCTCACACCATACAGGTTCCTACCATATATACACGATTAATACAAGGTTATGAAGCAATGGACCCAGAATTACAATCTACTTCTGCTTCAGCTGCAAGTCACTTGCGTCTTATGGTAACCAATAGTTAATCAGAGAAGGGTGGGTGGGATTGGGTAGGGGTTGAAATTTTTTGTATTTAATTATCGAGTTAATCAATTAATTCATTAATTCGCTTGTCCTATACTTCCAGATGTGTGGCTCATCTGCACTTCCACTTCCCATAATGCAACAGTGGGAAACAATCACTGGCCACCGCCTCTTAGAACGATATGGCATGACTGAAGTATGTTAAATCATGTCTTTTTTATGAACACTAGTTTGTGAACAATTACTACTATTTTACTTATAATCTTGCACTTAACTCTCATATTTTATATAGTTTGTCATGGCAATCTCTAATCCTTTAAAAGGTAACCGCAAAGGCGGCACCGTTGGCAAGCCATTTCCTGGTGTGCAGGTATGAGTTATTTATTTTATTTTTATTGCTCTTAAGGACATAAGTTGTAGCTTTGCACTCTTAAGGCAAGCCATACATAAGTTTTATGTGCCTTTTTTGACTAGCTAAATGGTGGTAGTTAACTTTGTCTGATCAAACTTGAGTCTTTTTTAAGGACAGTATTATATTTGAAACATAGACTTTTTTTGGGACAGGGAGTATTAAATAACAACAATACCTGTATTAATGTTCTAAATACTATGTGGCGTTTACGGATGGAGAAGATTAACCAGTGAGAAATAAGCAGTGAGCTCATCATCTTCTGAAGCTACAATTATTTGAGAACAGATTTTGTTTCTGTATAGTGGTCGTTACTAAATAGCAAAGGGAGTAGTTTATGTGGATTGCGATAGAAGATTGATTTCCATGAATTTCATTCACTTTTTTTAGTGACAATAAATAACTATTAGCATACCAACAGCCAATATTACTGCAAAGTCATAGTCTTAGTAAAGTGACCATTTCTTGGTTTCTGATAGGTCAAGATCCTTTCAGAAGATGGTGGTGCTGACGATACAACTGGGGTTGGGGAGCTATGTGTAAAAAGCCCTTCACAGTTTAAAGAATATTGGAAGCATCCTGAGGTATGCCCTATGCGGCTATGCCCTGTTATTCATAAAGTTTTCCGATCACTTTGAGCTCCGTTCTTTCCCCTGTCTGGTAGCACAAGATTCCCTACAGTTTCAGTAACTTTACACCTTTTGTGAAATATTAGGTAACGAAAGAGTCATTTACTAGTGATGGATTTTTCAAGACTGGAGATGCTGTTAGAGTGGATGAAGATGGATACATCATCATCTTGGGCCGTAAGATTTTCTTATGACTCCATGCACTCCAGATTTTTTGCAAATATTTTGCCGACTCATCCTAACAAATTGACCTTGTAAAAATTCCCCTGTAGTTTTTTATTACAATGTTGAGAAAACTGTCCTATAATTGGGGTTGAAGTTCTAATTGCTAATAGTCCAATGTATACTATAATTCATCAAGAAAAGACGGGAGTTTATAAGGTTTCAAATATCTTGTTGTTGCTAGACTAGCCAATCCATTGAATTTCGTTCATTTGGTCCATGTGCATTATGACAAAGCTCAATGATCCCAACCCGATTGTGAATATTTTCTTGCAATTGACTAATTAATTAGATTCATTATGACTCTCTTATTTGTTTTAATTTAAGGGAAGTGTTGCATAGAAACAGTCAAAAGAGACATTAGATCACTCCTAGACCCTAAGACAACACATTTCTTTCTCAGGTACAAATGCAGATATAATGAAGGTTGGTGGATATAAGCTATCTGCACTGGAGATAGAAGCCGTTCTTTTGGAGGTTGCCGTTTTCCTTGCAATAACCTTTCTGAATCCATCTATGTCACAAAATGCTCTTAAAAGTTCTGCCACATCATACTAACTTTCAAAAATCTGTTCTCGAAGAATGATCTTTTTGGTCAAAGATACCATTCCAAGATTGTAAATTTACCTTCAAACCCTTCATTCTTTAATACAGCATCCAGGGGTATCAGAGTGCTGTGTGTTGGGCTTACCTGATAAAGACTATGGGGAAGCTGTGTGTGCAATAGTTGTGCCAGATGAGGCAGAGCTTAGGGGGAAGGGTGCGTTAGAATCAAAATCTGCTCTCACCTTGCAACAACTTTCTGATTGGGCCAAGGACAAACTTGCCCCTTACAAGGTATCTTCCTTGTTTGAATTTTCTTGGATTACATTCTGATTTTTAAAACATATTTTTAAAAAATTAATCTTTCCATCAAGAATCTTTTTTCCCCCTTAAATTATCTTTCTCGTTGTTTAGTATTTGCACTATCGCATAGAGAATAACCATGAGGCATGAACCCATTTTGCAGATACCGACCGCTCTCTACTTGTGGGAGTCACTGCCTCGCAATGCAATGGGAAAGGTAATATACAAACTTGGGACGAGCCAGGAAACCAATTCGTTCATGATTTTTTTCTAAAACTCAAATATTTTCTTCGCATAAAAAAGAACCCATATATGAAGATTAAATGCCTTCTTTCACCTAAAACATCTTTCACGTATGAAGTTATGATCAACAGAACAAATTCTCAATTTGGGACCTCAAAGAATAGAATTACCAATTCTGTGTGTTGGTGCTAGGTGAACAAGAAAGAGCTGAAGAAAATTTTGATGGATGAGGTAAAAGAAGTGGCGACTTGATTAAAAAAACAGGCAGAGATTGAGAAATGCCAACAGTCAACAATGGTAAATAGAGCTCTTGGAAGAGTCCCATTACACATTCTTATTTCTGAGCAGCATACATTATATTATGCACTACTGGCAACCCATTATTCAAAATTAAAGACCCAAATTTACTCATTTCTCCCTCTTTTTTTTTTGTTTATAGTTTCTTGAAAATCCCCAACAGAAAACAAGTGAGTCTATCATAGTTTCCTACTAGCAGTCAACGAGTGCCGCCAATATATACTCCATTTGTTGTAAACGCATATTTTTTAGTTTTCACTTTATTATGGGATGGAATGTGCTTTAGCTAGTATTTTAATTTATTTAATAATGTCCGGCCTAGCCTGGCCTGTAAATGCAGGGCCCGGGGGCATGGTATGACCTTCATTTCTAAGACCATGGTGTTCCGGGATCAAAGCCGTGATGGCCACGTCGGCAACAGGAACACTATCCCCTCCCCTATGAGCGGACCTGGTAAAACGGTAGGCCAGTTCGTGTTCAGATTTGGGTCTAAGAGTGCTTGTTCATGACTTAGAATTATCGGGTTCGGGTTGATCCAACAGATTAAGAGACGTATATAAAAATTGAAAAATTTTCCATTTAGAGGTGAGTGATGAACGCTTTCTTCAAAACAGAGAACAAAATCATTCAAATCAACAACAAAAAAGTAAGCATAGCAAAAAAATGTAAACATCATCATGTCCCAAATGAACAATCCAAGCACACTAATCAAAATACCAAATAATTTAGAGTTCAAACAAAATGATTAAATGTTCCTTCTCTAGTGGAGTCATCCTTCATCTCAATTGGAAGCTTATCACGACTGGTACGCCTGAAATCCAACTCAATGCCTTCTTCAATTTTGTCACCTTCATCTACATCACACATTACACATATATGAAGATTTAATTTGTAAGTGTAAAATAAATTGAGGCTTATATATTAAATTACTTTAGTCAACATCATATCCAAATATCCAACTACGAGTGGTAATCAAACCTTCTACATTCTCATGCTTAAGTGATGCTCTCCACTTTGTTAAAATCTTACCACATAAGCTAACATTGGGGGACCTTTTAGCATTGTCCTTCCACCATGAACATCTAAATTTTCATTACAGTCCACCTTAAGTTCTTCCAAATACAAATCCAATTAGGATTTACACCTAGAAGTTGTCACTCCATCAAATGCTAAAAAGCCTACATAAACATTTCAAAAGAGAAGTGGATAACAAAAACTAAAAAATTGTGAATATAAGTTTATTGTGTAAAAATAATGAATGAACATAAATATTATGGACTATTATATTGAAATTATAAACAAATAAAAAAACTCCCCCCACCCAACCCCCTTCCCTCGCCCCCAACCACCGCTCCCTCAAACCCTATAAATTGAAGCTCTATTATAAAGATTCGATATCGATCATGTATGCACTTAAAAATGTTTGAATGCATTTTTTCACAATAATAATAATGCTATTATTATTGTTAGTATTTTTAGATGCGTATATAATAATTTACAAATTATAAAACCAATTAATGTTGATATTTCAGATAATTTTTTAATTGTACAGATTAATTTTTAAAATAATTTAAAACCAAATATTATTATTAAATAATGTTTTTAATGTGTTAAAATTAAATGTGAAGCTCTTATAAAACAAGCATTTAATTTACAACAAATTTCGTGTGATAAGTGGAGATGTGAAGCTCTTATAAAACAAGCATTTTATTTACATTAAATTTGGTGTGATAAGTGGGGATGGTGACATGGAATCCATTATTCACACAATAAAATTCAGTATTTTATTGTGCGTTGACTTTGGGTTTAGCAAAAAGCAATATATACCATATTTGAATATTAGGTCGAGCATCTTTGAATGAATTGATGATGAAGATGAACCCTAGCTAGCTAGTTGCCCGCCCTTTATAATCATTAATTATTATACCATAAAATTTTTAAGTATTTATTAAAATTTACTTCTTACAGATAAAACTAACAAATTTAGTCACTAATTAAATAAAATTTACATGTGTAGCTAAGGTTCATATAGAGCTTCTCACATACTCCCTCCGTCCCAAAAAGTCTTTCCTGTTTTATTTTTTGCGCATCCCATAAAACACTTCTAACGACATCTAAAATGCCTAAAATTTATAAAATTTCTTCTTTATTATGGGTAGAAGTTATTTTGAAAGTTTTTTTGGCATTCAAGACGGGATAGAAGTGTTTTATGGGATGCGCAAAAAATGAAACAGGAAAGACTTTTTGGGACGGAGGGAGTATATTTTTTTAAATTTTAAAAATGCTTACTTCAACACTAAAAAATGCTTATTTAGCATATATGATGGTCCACCATAACCTTAGCTGCATGCTTATTTAACACTAAAAAATGCTTAATTTTGAAAATGCTTACTTCAACTCTCTAAATTTATGTGAGAAAGTTCACAAAAATAGAATGCACCTAAGGTGCATCATAGAAGCATTCGCAATAATTTACCCTATATTACATATTGATACAAAAATAATTTTATAAGACTTATTTTATAAAATATTTTAAAAATATTATTTTTTTCAAATTAATATACCACACAATTTTTACTCCCTCCGTCCCAGTGTATTTGTCGAGTTTGACTTTTTCGAATCAAACTAGACAAAATTTGAGCTTCAATTAAATAAAAACTGTAATGTATTTTAACATAAAATGACTTTATTGGATTTATTGCATTGAGAACTTTCAAAATTGTATTTCATTATGCTAATATGCAATATAAATTGAGTGTAATTGGAGTTCAGAGTTTGTCTAGTTTGACTCGAAAAAGTCAAACTGGAAAAATATACTAGGACAGAGACAGTATTTAATTTGAAGACAAAAATTAACAATGATTGACTATAAAATGTCAAAAATGAATACTACCTCCGTCTCAAAGTTTTTGTCCAGTTTGACTTTTTCGAATCAAACTGGACGAACTTTAAGTCTTAAACAAATAAAAATAAAATGTATATTACTATAAAAATGATTATTTTAATATATTTAACTTGTTTTGAACTTTCAAAAATCTATTCTATTATATTAATATGCAATAAAAAACGAGAGTAATTGATAATTAATATTTGTCTAGTTTGATTCAAAAAAGTAAAACTAAAAGAATAGTACAGAAGGATGATAGTCAGGCACAAGGTAGTATATCACCCATCTTTTCTTTTCTTAGTGGGATTCCATAATGGAAATGCTCAAAGTCTACCTTAGCTTTTTAATCATATTGTTTCTTTTATAGACCACATTCTTTTTAATTAGAAACAATGTGCTCGACTTCATCAACCGTCTATATGAAAAAAGGGAAAAGTTTTTATTTACGCGATTAAACCGATTGATATTAAAAACTTGGGAGCTAAAAATCAACCTAGCTACTTATTAGAGTAAATGGAAGGGCAATTTAGGCAAATGAGATTTAAACATATCACTTTTTCTAAACATTACGGTCTTATCTACTCTAACATTTGATAATGAAAAATTTTAAAACGTCTCGTATTTGAGAAAATGACCTATTTCAATTCATAATTCAAGTAGAATAAGATATTATTAAAAACAAATTGAATAGTCATTGAAATAGTCAGTCATTATTTAAAACTTGTTGCTAATGATCACATTCGTAGAATCATTCGTATAGTCAGTCATTATCCAAAAACATTTGTTGCGAACGAGGACATATATGACAGATCATATAAAATTATGTGACAAAAAGGGAATGAAACATACTTAGTCCTATTCAGAGAAACATATGCCTTATCTTTTACTCCTATATGGTACATTTTGACCTCAAATTAAATAAAAATGATATTAGATATTGATAGAAAAATAGTTTTATTAGATTTATTATGTCAAATATTTTTGAAATATTACTTTATCTAATTAATACACAATATATATTTTATTTAATTATAAGTCAAAAGTTGAAAGCGGTTGACCGAAAAAAATCAAAATCGGACAAATATTTAGGGATGGAAATAGTATTATTTACTCCTTATTGTATTCTTACTATAAGTTTTTTCCTACTTAGATCAGAATTCTTCTCTTTTGTTATACTCCCTCCGTCCCAAATTATAATGCATGTTTACTATTCACAGGGTCAAACTTCATTCACTTTCTTTCTCTATTTTCGTTAGCAATTTGATAAAATAAAATATTATTGTCACTACTAGTTTTGTAGATCTTTTGATGTAGTTTTTTAATATGTAATTTTTATTTTTTAATTCTATACCATTTGTCATATAAAATGATTTGAAAATAATTTCAGTCAAACATCGTAAACCGAAACAGGCGTTATAAATTGGGACGGAGATAGTAATTTTTATATATAGGCATGTATCCTATCATTAATTATAGTATTATTTATTACCTTCTTTATTACATTACTTCTTTATTGTATTCTTACTATAAGTTTTCGCCTACTTAGATCAGAATTCTTCTCTTTTGTTATAATTTTTATATATAGGGATGTATCATATCATTCATTATTTAAAAAAACAAAGATAAATATTTAGGGATGGAAATAGTATTATTTATTACCTTCTTTATTACATTACTTAATGTATTCTTACTATAAGTCTTCTCTTACTTAGATCAGAATTCTTCTCTTTTGTTATAATTTTTATATATATTGGGATGTATCCTATCATTCATTATTAAAAAAAACTTAGGATGCGTCATATTCGAACCTGAGTCACATAGCATGTCACATAGTTCTACACCCACTTAGGCTACCAATCTTGTTGATCCATGTTTTACGCATAATGTAATATACACTCCGTATTTACTAAGTTGATTGAATAAAACTTTTAATTATTTAAAAAAAGAAGGCAAAATTCACAAGAACACAAGTAGTATCTAATATACTTGTTTCAAAAACTTATAAAAATAGTTTAAAAAATATATAAACAAATTTATTTATGTTATATTAAAAAAATAAGATTAATTATACCTAAAAAAATTTATCAAAACAAAAAATACATAAAAAAATTCATCATTAAATTTAAGAAATATTTAGTAATTATACCTTAATATATTAAAAATATTTTTAATTCTTTTTTTCTCATTCCAATCAACTAAATATAAGTGTAAAGTGTTACATACGGATTTGGGAGTATTATATAAAAATACATTACCTAGCCTTTACTTTTTTAAAAAAATATGAGTAGTGCCTTACTAAATTAGTGTTATTAGATACTTATTATTTATCTTTGATAGTAAAAAAAATAATACGAATAGAAAATTGAAAATGTGACGGCATATGCAAGATGTTATTCAAAATTAATTAATGGAAGAGTGAAAAACATAAATATAATATCTAATATTATAATATAAAATATTATTCTTTTAATTATAGTTAACCAAGTCGTTGACCCTTGGATTCACCGGTTAATCATTGGCACACTAGCTCGTCCGAGTCGATGTCTCGTCCAATTTTTTAAGACAATTGTTAGGGAAGGTAAGTATTTATAAACTCTTTCTTATAATATTGTATGTCATTTATTTATTTAAATATAATTCGCTTATGCACTTAAATCCGTTAAGACATTAGAAATAATTAAGATCTTTAGGCTCTCTTTTTCTGTCTCAGCCCAGGCCATTGAGTCTCAGTAGGGGTGAGCAAATTAACCGGACCGACCGTGAAACCGAAAACCAAAAACCGAAATAACCGGAAGTTCGGTTTCGGTTTCGGTTTTCATGTAAAAGTTATTTTCGTTTTTTCGGTTTTTCGGTCGGTTTTCGGTTTTTTTGTAAGGAAAACCGAACCAACGGAATAACCGATGATTTTATTTTAATTTATTTTTTATTTTTTAAAATACAAAAATATTTGATTAACATTCATGCTTTCTCTTTACTCTTTCATCGAAAACTATAATGTTTCACTTTTAAAAAATTTATTTGTTAATGTTTTGAACATATTAATAAGAAAAGTGCAATTTTTATATGAAATGGATAGTGTATATTCAAATAAAAATTAATCTACCTTACTAAATCAATGACAATAGAAAAGTCTTAATCTAAACTAAATTAATACATATCAATCTACCTTGCCGAATTAGTTTCTTAAATTTATATCAAAAAATCAAAATAAAAGTAATTAGAATTCGGTTTTTCGGTCGGTTTTTTTGATGTATGGGCGGTTTTCGGTTTCGGTTCGGTCGATTTTAATTTATGGTCGGTTCGGTTCGGTCGGTTTTCAACCATGTTAAAAAAAGTCGGTTTTTTCAGTTTCAAACCGAAACCGACTGAAACTGACCGTTGCTCAGCCCTAGTTCTCAGGGCCGGTCCTGCATTCTTTTATTAGGATCCCTCTATTATAGTATAATATTGATTATAGTATATGTTCATACATTTTCGACTTATTAAGCACTGCATGCAAAGTTATTCTCCTCACTAAGGTCCGAACTTGCGACCTCTTATGTGGTAGAGTCACCAGAATGCTGCTGGACCAGACCCTAGAAATTAGTCGCACTGCTGTTTGAGATACAATATTATATGAGGAATTTACTTAAATAGAACTAAAAAGTTTATAGGGAATAAAAAGTTTAATTCCTACATTGGGAAATAACTTATGTTATAGTCATATTTAGTGCAAATTTTTCATATTATATTTGATTATCATCAAATCAAATTACACAATCCATATATTTGATGATATTGATGGTGAGGCAGCACGTACGGACGTACTCCGTATTAAACAATAATGTTAGAGAGGTAGGCAATATGATGGGGTTAATTTACTGTTAATAAGTTGATCTCATGACCACCACCAGGCCAATATGATCATCATCTTTGAATCTTCAATCAAAAGATATTTGTAATTAATAAAAAGTTAATTGAAAAGGAAAGAACAAAAAGACTAGCTAAATAAACAAATAAAGAAATACTTGTAATTAATCAAATTAATTATTAAAACCCTCCTCCGCCAAGAGGAGGCCAGTAATCAGCAGCAGGGCCGCCGCCGTTGTTAAAAATAACGCCGCCGTCGAAGGTGGTGGTGCAGCCTCCTCCTCCACCTCCTCCTCCCACACTTATCACGTGTTGATCAGTGCATGACAGTGGCACCAAGCACAACCCTTTACTTCTTAGATCCTTATAATTAACGTCTCCTCCTGATTCCTATATATATACCACCACCCACTTTATTAATTATACATATTAATTAGCATCACATCACTACATGCATTTATTTACCAAGTAATTAAATCTCAATCAATTTATCAATTCATATCTTAGATTTATAAAATAAGAAAAATTATACGGAGTATGTACATTTGTGCATTATATCATACTCCCTCCGTTCCACAAAACCCTTCCGGTTTTGACTTTGGAAAAAAATAAGGAAAGTGTAATTTTGGTTGACTTTCCAATTTTTCCCCTGATGTGATGGGAAAAAGTAAGATGTGATAGTTTGGTTATTAGTGATAAAGTATGATGTGATAGGTAGGGTATAAAAAAGTAGTGATAAAAGTGGTTTTTTAATAGAAAGTGGAAGTGTTTTGTAGAAAGAAAAAAAAACGAAAGAAGAAAGGTTTTGTGGAACGGAGAGACTATTATAACAAGCAAAACTTCTCTTTTCAGGTAAGGAAAGCATGCAAACTTTGAAACGAAAAAAAATTAAAAATAAAATCAAATTAAAATAAGATCTTTTTACTCCGTAACTTTACAATTTTAATTTGTTAGAGCAAAATCTTTTTTTGAGCTTATAAACTAAAAGTTGAGTGGGGTTGAATTGGTTCCTTCAAAAATCAAACCCTAATAATAATTTTATTACGATTTTAGTATCTGTTCGGACATTCTTAATCTCTTAAAATACCGAGGGTTACTGCTCCCACTATGGTTTAAACTTGTGACCTTATATTTAGTTCGCTAGCTAGTGTGACACTAACAAAATAAGTCTATATATAAAACGTACTAATAATAAAATTAAATGTGATGTTTGTGTTTGTGTGATGAAGAAAATATGGGATGCCACAAAGTTTTGCAAGGCAATAATAAATGTAATATTTTGTTTTCTCCTCTTTTACAACAAATTAATAAATGGGTTGAATTAAAAGAAAAAGAAATCTTACTGGAGATTGTTGGTGAATGATGTGAGCCATGCTTCTCCTTGCTGCATTGCCAAAGTATGGGGCGCTTAATGCCTGCATACATACATGCATCTATAAACCTTAGACATGGCTAATTAGAATTTAAGGTGATTTGAATAAACAATTATGGAGATAAACATAACAGTTACTCCCTTCATCCCAAAAAGATCACCAGTCTTCAGTTCTTTACTATTACAAAATTATGAGAATTAACTTTTATTTATTTGTGTACATTTTCATTGATTATTCTATAAGATAAAATATGATTGTTATCTCTTTTATTGTAGGACTTTTGATGTAGTTTTCAAATATGTAAGTTTTAGTTTTTTATACCATCTTTTAAGTAAAATAAATAATAAAAACTTGAACCTCTACTTAGTTTTGCAAAAAAATATTAATCTTTTTAAGATGGATGAATAAGTATGTGACAATTAGTGGAAACCCCACTTTGAAAAGTGTGCTTTCTATTAGTAATCAAAGAAAAGTTCTTTTAGTGGAACCCCCACTATGAGTGATGCTCAAGATAGAGGACATACTTAAATTGGGGAAGATGCAGTATCAATTATCTAAGAAATAATTTCACCACAAGCTCGTGTAGAGGTAAGTGTTTAATTTGTTCTTTTAAACTTATTTTTATTGGAATAATATCAGGTTAGACAAAACAGCTTAGAAACAACTTTAAAATATAATTAAAACAATACATATAAGATCAGAACTTATTCTAATCAAATCATAATCATTCAGATCAAACGAAGAAAACAAACCCTAAGTCTTGAAATGACGAAACCTATTTTTGTTCGAGTCTTGCAGATTAACTTTAATTTTTCAAATTAAAATTGGATAACGGTGTTGTTCAAACTTGTAACTTCCTGATCAAGAAAGCTTCCATACCATGTAAAAAAACTCATATAACTACCAACTATTTTTGTGGTTGTAGCAAGCTAGCTAGGCCCAGAAGAAGTTTTACATATACACGCAATATTCTAACACCAACCCAAACACTTTGTGGACATATTTTTGTATGTACAACTTTAAATGGTCTCTAAGCTTGCTTGCAAAACTCTCAATTATGTTCTATGAGTATTGCACATGTCTCTAATTAACCAGAAAAATGAGAGGAAAAAGCTTAGATCATGAGTAATTATCATTACCTAGATTATGAGTGCATGCGTGTGTCATGTTTCTTCTAATTGAAACTTACTAACTAATTAATTTACTTACAACTAGAATTATAATATGTTTAAACCAAAGTGTATATCATCATTAGGAAAATTTACACATGATGTTTATCTGCAATAAGTTAATTAACTCTTTATTCGACGTAGACCTTATATATAATTAAACCTTACCCTATACCAAGAATTCTTCATGAGTATGTACAAGTTACAACTATGTAGGGAGATATATGGATAGAGATTGACCTGAATTTGAGAGTGAAGGAATGTGACGTAACCAATAACTTCTGACAAAACGGAGGCTGTATCTGTCTGTAAAAATAAAATTGATCAAACACAATTACAGTAATATAAGCCTCAAAGTCATCTACACTACTTTTCTTTCTTTTTTTTTAAAGAAAATGTTTATTTTCGGAATGGACAAGGTTTTTTTTTCTAAACCTTAGAAAAAAATGACCATAAATCCCAATGACTAAGCCCTACTTAAGTTCCTTACTCCTAGCTAGTTCTTTTTTCCATATTTTTTTCATTGCGTGGATATTCTTTCTCCAAATATCTATAAAATTATGAACTTTGATAATACTATCACGTTAAATATGACACTACGTACTTATTCACACGTTTGACTTTGAATTCGAGGCTCATTTTTGAGGTCTACTATTTTAAAAATAAAAAATCTAACCTAAATTTTTTTCTCGTTGAAAAAAATTCAAAAAATAAAAAAATTTATTCTGAATACTCGATTGATCAGATCCAGAATTTTGGACTCTAGAAACCCAAATATCCGATCTGGTAATTTTATGATCATACATTGAATAGATCGATATTGTCAATTCCAAAATTCTAGTCAGGTATCTAAAGGACCGGACCAGATCCCATCGATCCGAAAGACCAACCCTAAATTGTGAAACATGTCATCTACAATAACCCTAGGTTTGTTTGAGAAGAAAATGGAAGGGAGGAAAAAGAAAGAAGGAAAATGTGAATTTATCTTGTTTAAATAAAAGGCAAAACAATAATGAAAGAAATTATGAATGATAATAGAAAGTTGGTGTTGTTCATTGACACTAACTTTGAGTGTCAATGAATGACACCGATTTTAATTGGATAACCTACGATTTACCTTGTGAACGAAATTCATAGTTCCTACTTCTTATCCCCTTCCCAAGTACGAAGTAGAAAGTAGGTGAGATTTACAAAGAAAAAATTATCTCATCTTTGGACGGAAAAGTGCACCCAAGAAGTCATAAAGTTTATTTTCCAAATTACCCTCAAATGAAATTAATTAATTACGGAGTAATACAACAATACTCGGTTTGATAAAAGAAAATATTTACATCACATTATTTTATAAATTTTTTTATATAATTTTAAAATATAAAATTTATACTTTATTATTTATTTTCATACCAATTTATTATAAATAAAATAAATTTAAAAGAGATTACATTTTATATGTATTCAAAGTGAGACGATTAGTTTAGAACGAAAAGAGTATTAGTTAATGATAAAATTGTCATTTCACTTTATGCTTACACCTTTTTAATAGGAAGTATGGAATATTTCCCACTCCCGGCCTTATTTACTACTCCCTCCGTCCCCCAGTATTCGTCTAGTTTTGACTTTAGGAACTGTTCATTTAAGAACTTTGACTCATCAAATTCTCTCAATGTGTAAGTCTAAATTTAGTCATGTGTGATCTTGTTTGATTTGTTTTAACATATAGATTATTAATATATAATTTCTATATTTTTTTAATATACAAATTACAAGATAAAATGGATTAAAAAAGTGCATTGGATGGTGTGTAAAAATGAAAGTGGACAAATACTCTGGGACGGAAGGAGTACACCATATTGTTTAAAATCATTTATTAATTGGATTTGAATAATTATTTTATTCATATGGAATATTTTTTTATTTATTCATTGGATTTGAAGATGAGACAGTCGACAGGCCTTGATGGGTTCCTCACTTTTGCGTGTTTGTATTATTGCCAAAAAAAGTTAATAAAGCAAAAAGAATTTTGATATCTTTTTATGGAATATAACGCTTTTTTTGAGTTTTTTGTATTTGTTTTCGTCACCTCCAAATCAAAGCCTATCTGCTGCATGGCTGCATTTATAATTTTATATCATCCCCGAAAAAAAAGAGTCTAATAAGAATCAAACACTTTTATTATCGGGAAATGTTCCTTCTCGTAATCATTTTGGGTGTTTAAACTGTTGGTGCGAAAGGTAATATAGTCATGTTCGACTTTTGGTTGAGGCAAAGTGAAATTTTACTTTCTTCATTTAGAAATGTTCTTTACATTTGACTTTTCGTGGTCAAAGTTTATAAACTTTGTTTCAGATATGTGGGAAAAATATATTGTATTATGATATATATTTAGGAAAATGCTAGGGTCACAAACAAAACATTCACAAAATTGACATTTTTATAAAAACTAAACATTCCTAATAACTACTACTCCCTATTAGAACATTTTTATAACACTAAAACTAAATGTTGAAAATGTTACCAAACAAACACTATTAAATACTCCTTTTGTTCTACAAAACATTTCTTCTTTCTTTTTTCACCCGTCCCAAAAAATATTTTTTATTAATTTTTAACTTAACTATCACATCATACTTTTTCACTACTAATTTGTCAATCATATCCTACTTTTACCTATCACTTCCAATGATATTTTTGGAAAATCAATATAAAAAAACACTCACTTTAAAACTTTTAAAAGTCAAAATCATAAACTTTTTGTGGGAGGAAAGGAGTACAAATTAGAGAGAAAACTAAAAGATTATGTTCTTTTAGTTTAATTTAAATTTTCACTGAAATCTAGCTGGTAAATAAAATCTAGAAACTCAAAAATAGTTAATTATTTTAATTAACTAAACTTAATTGAATAAGTGAAAAAGTTGAAAGAGAAGAAATTGTAAAACCTTTCCGAATGGAGAAACAAGTTGGTGAAGGGCTGTTATTCTATCCCCCAGCTTCTCTTTTCTTACCTGCTTCCTTCAAATTAACAAATATAATTATTATTACCTATTTATTTATTTATTTATTTAAACGGGGTGATTAATTGAAGAGTAAATATAGTTAATTAAAAGGGAAAAAAATTTGATCACCTTTAATGATGGTTGGGTTGAAGAATGATGATTATGATTATGAACCCTGGCCTTCTTATTAGTTGCTCCTCCACTACCAGTGCTTGTGCTGTTACTCTGCCCACAAAATCATTACTCATTATTATTGAATTTCTATATATAGTTAATTTCAAATATATATACGGCCCGGTTCCATGGTCACTGGATTCCAGTGGCCATGGAACCGGGCCGATATATATAATCTTTTCTTTTATTTCTATCAACATAATTATATGTTAAGAGTATTCCACATCGGAAAAGTGTGAGGAAAATAATCGATATATAAGCTCTTGAGTTGAACTAACTAATCGATTGGATTCAATCTTTTAATGTAGTTCGACCCAAGGGTCTTATTACCCAATCCAGATGTCCATACCCATCCCAAATTTTATCATTATAAAAAATTATTTTTCTAAAATATTTAGTGAAAATGATTTAAAAACCTTTGAAATTAAAAAACCTTTAGAATTCCTTGTGTTTCTAAAAGATTATGATGTTTTCCTTTTTTGCTTTTCAAAAAGAACGAATATCTCATTCGATCTTTTTATGAAAGAAAGATGTTAAGCGGTCCATATTATTTCCTTTTTTTTCTGTGCACAAAAGCTCCATTATACTAGCATAATATTATTTTGAAAAGAGAAATTTACTAAAATAATACTAAAAGATAATGACTTTTCCAATGTACTATCATATTTTTTATTTCCCAACGTAGTACCAATGTTCAATGTCCATTGGTCATTGTATAAGTAAGTGTCTACCGTCACTGGACATTGTTCAAACTAAATGTCCACTATCACTGGATATTATTTCCGCAAGAAGACATTATTCAAATACTATTTAGGGAATAAAAAAATTTAAGGACTACATTAAGAAATGACATACTCCCTCCGTTCCACAAAACCCTTTCTCTTTCGTTTTTTTTTGCTTTCCACAAAACACTCCCACTTTCTATTAAAAAACCACTTTTACCCCTACTTTTTCATACCCTACCTAACACATCATATTTTTTCACTAATAACCAAACTATCTCATCTTACTTTTTTCCCATCACATCAGGGGCAAAATTGGAAAGTCAACCAAAATTACACTTTCCTTGTTTTTCCCCAAAATCAAAACCGGAAGGATTTTGTGGAACGGAAACAAATTTCACTTTTTAAAAATTATGTTCAAGTCAACACAAATATTCTTTAGGGACGAATGAAATATCATCTATAAATAAGAAGTTTGTAAAACATGGTCAACAAGCAAAAGAGTAAAATTTAGGACGGTGAGTATATATATATATTCATATTAAGGAAATATTACCCGTCTTAGTATATTTGTCTAATTTGATCATTTAGAGTCAAATTTGACTAACATTGAGTTTCAATTACTCTAAATTTGTATTCAATATTAATATAATTTGAAATAAAATTTTGAAAATTTTCAAAAAATAAAACTAATCAAATCATTTTTATATTAGTATACATTATAATTTTTATTTAATTAAACAAATCTCAAAGTTCATCTGTCTTGATTCAAAAAAATCAAATTGACCAAACATCCTGGGACACGAAATACATATTTATAATGTCCAAAGAGTCCCCACAAATTAGATTATTATATGCACGCGGATAGAATTCATTTCTATATCCTGAATTTGTCTTGAATATATTAATGTCGCAAAAAGAAATAGAGTACAATTTTAAAAAAGTTGAGACGGATAAGTTAAGCCAACCCAATTTATATATTCAAAAAAAAATACTTCCATTTGATTGTTTCCAAAAACTCTAAGTTACTTAAATTTAAAAATTGTAGACATGATAAATGCAACTCTTTTTTGTGGGAGGGATGGTTAAAATTCTACAACTTCCTTAATGAAAAAAAACACCAAATTGTTCTTGGTACGTAATTACCTCGTATGAATGTCGGGAAGCACTCTCATCATCAGTTTTGTTCTTCCCCGGCGGCTCATCATAATGGCTTCTTGTTTGGCGGCGGTGGTGGTGGTGGCGATGAGACGGAGAAGACAACACCGCCGGCGGCTCTGATTGGAAATAATGGCGGTGATGGTCATCATCATGTTCGGGTATAACAGAAAGACGATGATCGTGACGGTAAAACTGTCCAATTCTAGGAAACGGGTCGTCTTCCTTAATTACATCATCATCATCAGCATCAGGATTAGCGGGAGCAGAAGAAGAAGAGGAGGATGGTTTGTTCATACCAATTTGGTGATTTTCCCAATTCTCTTGCACCACATTATTCTTGTATTGAAAATGACCCATACCAAACTTTTCATTTTCATTGCCACCCAAACCATCCCTTAAAAATGCAAAAAACCAAAAAAGTAAAATTAAATATTCCATTCATATGTCTATATAATATAGATAATTTACACCCATCTAAACAATAATAAGGTAAATTATACCTACATAACATCAAGTATGATGACTCTCAACCTTATTATATTAATTATGAGTTCTTTTCAAGTGTTTTTAATTTGTTGGATTTTGTTGAAGTCATTGTTGTTTTAATCTCTTTTGAAAATTAAAAGGCTAACTATACAAATGACTTGATAAAATGCTCCATCCATCACATATCCTTCTCCATGTTTTGATATTTTCGACGTGATCATAAATTACGAAAATAATATATTGAACTGTAATATTCTATATAAATTTAACGTCAATATATTCAATGTAAAATATAATTTTAAAATATCATACTGTATTTATTCAAAAAAGTCAACTATGAATGGAAGAAAAACAAAAGGCCAAGAGAGAGAGAGTTGAAGAGTGTGTTAATTACATGATGAGTTGGTTGAATGGACGTGGAAAGTGGAGGGTCGCCGTCGGGGCTTCGTCGGCCAAAGAAACGGACGGTGCATAGAAATGTGGGCTCTCGTGACGGTGAGATGGTGGCGGCAGTGGTGGCGGAGGATCCACATCACTGCCGGCGTTGACCATGGTGCTCCACCAGTTGTTAGGGTTTCCGGCCATCACCACCCAGCTACGCCGTGCCCAACAGTTAATAATAATAACACCACCACGTACCAGTACTGCATACCATACATATATAGGAACGAACCATATACATACTCTATATATAATAATAATAATAATAATAATTAAAAATAATGTGTATCAAAATTAAAAGAACACAAAAAAACAAACGAGGCCTTAGCTTGGCATTATTTATTTATTTATTTCTCCTCTCATTTTGAGCTAAAAAATAATGACATCTTTAATTCCCAGAAGTGAACAACCAAACGGGGCTTTGCGGGAGCTTTCAGTGTTTGCTTTAAAGAGGAAGAATGGTATATTTATGTCCCTCTCAAATAAAGTGGTACTACTACTACTACTACTAGTCTTTCTTGCTTGGGGGGCTCTTTTTTTATAACCCCTCCTTTTTTTTGGTACGGTGGATTTATATATAATCTTTTTTTATTTACCCCCCCCCCCCCCTTGCTTTATTAGCTTTATTATTATTTTTATATATTTTTTTAATTATAAGAGTACGTGGGGACTCCTTGTCTGACCCATCATTATTGTTAGTTTGAAACTGATTATGCATTAATTAGTTGATTGAATTAATTAATGACTATTCAGTATGGTGCAAATACATGTTATGCAATTCTTTTCTATATCTCATTATCTTTGGAGAATACCTACCTTCTTCTCAAGTATT